TTTTTTTTTTTTTTAGTCTTTAGTCTTACTAGCTTGGCTCTTGCCCATAAGTGTTTAAATGAGTTCAACTTCTAGGACAGAATATGAGGAGGATAAAATTTCCCCTTCATATCTCTCTCCACCTACAGTGTGGACTCTTACTTTCATCATCAAAGCTTCTCAAAGACTTGTCTTCTGTTTCTATTTTTTCATCTCCTTTTTTTCCTCATAGGATTATCTACTTTGTTCCTCTACCATTTCACTGAAACTATTCTTGTTAATGACACTTTCTTATTGTCATATCCAGTAGTCATTTGTAAATCCATACTTTATTTATTTTACATCATTTGAAATTGTTTACCACTTAGTTTTTTGTAAAATGCTCTCTTCCTGTGACTTAGGTATACTAGGCATTTGGTTTCTTCCTTTTTCTTTTGCCAGTTTACAGTTTCCTTCACGAGCTCTCTTAGCCTACGCATTATACATTGAGGGCCTTCAGGACCATAAGTGTAATTCTTTTCTCATTCTATGTATTCTCTGGTCTCATCCACAGACATACTTCCGATGACCTTCTATATATTTCTGACTTCCAAATTCATCCAAAATCACATTTCTCATAGTTCTGGACTCTGTATTCAACTCTGTTATGCACTCTGATCCTGAATATTCCACAGGCACTATAACAATTTTTTTAATGTTTATTTATTTTTGAGAGAGAGACAGAGACAGAATGTGAGCAGGGGAGGGGCAGAGAAAGGGAGGCACAGAATTTGAAGCAGGCTCCAGGCTCTGAGCTGGCAGCACAGAGGCCGACACAAGGCTTGAACTCACACACTGGGAGATCATGACCTGAGCCGAAGTCGGGATGCTTAACAGATTGAGCCACCCAGGCGCCCCTCCACCGGTACTATAAACTCAACATGTTCAAAACACAAAATTTTCAACCCTAACCATACTCCGGGTCTTAAGTTTCCTATTTCACTGCACTGCCAAAACCAAAAATCTGGTCATCATCCACAAAAATATATGCATGTATATAAATATGTATTTATGTATATAAAATGTGTGTGTTGGTGTGAGTGTAAATATATCTTTTATCAATCAACATTTACTTCCTCTCTTTTATTCCCACATATTCTCTGGTTTCTGTTCCCTTACTATGACTCAAAACCATCAAAATCTCTTTCCCACACATCCACCTTACTTTGGGCCACCACCATTCTCACTTGGAGAACTATAGTATCTGTTTAAGAAGCTGTTACGTGCTTCTAATACACATAACAATTCATTTTTCTAAAACTTTAGCCAGAGTAATATTTCTAAAATGCAAATCTGAACAAATGTAAGGTCTCTAGTTAATGTCTTAAGCACCCAATTTCCTGTCAGACAATGTGGCAGACAAAGTCCTTTATTATCCTTTCTATGGCATAAAATAATCTTTCATCTGGCAGTCTCAAATAGCCTCACCCACCCTTGCAGGCATTTAAATTATAATCTCTCATTTAAATGTGAATAAGTTATTCCATCTACCTCTCTCGTGCTAAATTCTCAGTTCTGACCTCACTTAGACCTATGAACCTTGAGAGAACTCATCATTGGTCCAATAAGTCTTCCTTTACCCAATATTAAGGAACTATATCCCCCTTCAACATAACATAATTATTTATTCCATCATAACTTACCACCATTTTACAATAATATCAGCGAATACCAGCTGAACACCTAGAATGTGCCAAGTTCTATTCTAAGCACTATGCAGGTCTGATGTCATATAATACTCGTAACAATACTAAGAGGTTGGAATTGCTTGTATATACATTTTACAGGTGAGAAAAATGAGGCACAGAGAGGCTAAGGACATTCCACAGTAAAAGAGGTAAGTGACAGTCAGGCAGTCAGGTTTCTGAGCATCTGCTTGCAACTACTCTGAATGTACTTGCTTTTCCCTTAAATTCTTAATTTGAAAAAAAAAGCAATAAAGAGAAAGGTATGCCTGTGTGCACATGCGCATAGCGCGCGCACACACACACACACACACACACACACACACAGATTAAATTATTCCTAAGGGACCATCCAGTTATTATTTTTGTTAAATTTATTAATTTCAAATTTCAATGGCATCTAATGAAATATGATTAGAAAAACAAGTGTGGGATCACCATTTATACACTTTATGTGATTTGCCTCCTAATCACATCCCCTTTTAGGGTTTGGTTTTTTAAATGGCATTTCATCATACTGAACATCATACTCTAAATGTCCTGAGGTAGTCTTAGAGTGTTCTTCACCAAATGTTTCCAAATGATGAACACAGGCTATCCTTCCACTTACTTAGGTTATTTTTAATTTCTTTCAGCCTGTTTTGTAGTTTTCAGTGGACAAATCTCTCACTTCCTTTACTCCCAGGTAAATATATGCTATTGTATACTGAATTGCTTTCTTAATTTCTTTTCTGAATATTCATCAAGAATGTGTAGAAATACAACTGATTTTTGTGCGTTAATCTTTTAACCTGCAACTTTGCTGAATTCATTTATTAGCTCTGCTATTGGCTATTTTTGACAAGGCATTAAGGAAAAGACAAGTACAGCAATGAATTCACAAGAAGACAATTCATAAGAATTGAATTACAGGTATCAGAAAAAGTTCAGATATTGGAGGACTTGCAGGAATTACCAGCTTCCCAACCTCAACTTATAAAAGAAACAACTGAGAAGGTCTTTGAGCAACAGAGGCCAACTAAATTCAATATTACAGCAAGTACTGAATCAAGTGTCTATTAGCTACACCCACTGTTGAGGATTCAATGGATTAAAATGTCTCCAAGCAGAGACCTAACAAGCCTGTTACTATTACTGTCCAGTATGTATTTTCATTTGGAACAAATGGTTTGGAGAAAAAAGATCACTGGAATTTCTTAAATCCATGCTTGATAAACAAAGTTATCTATAATCAGAAAAAGAGAGAGACATAGACAAATGGGCAAGCATAGGGGTCAAAATCATATAAACAAATTAAACATAGGAAGCAGTTCCCTAAAATAACTGTGGGTTTACCTTTCACAAATGGAGCTGATTGTAACGAAACAGATAAGGAGCCAAAAGAACCATTCTCCTGAACTGTCACTATTTGCTATCTCAAGTGACCCATGTCTCCCAATTTTCTATAGTCAAAAAGCAGGCGGAGAAATGGCATAATCACCAATACTCATATTAGTTATAGCCAACAAAGATATTGAAAAATTTTAAACTTACACAATCATGAAGAACAATGGACTAGAAACCCTATCCCTACACCCTAAACAGAAAATCATGGTCAATCGAAGAGCAGTCCTATCCCCATAACAGATCTTAGTTAATCTGTCCACTGAGACTTCAAAATTGCTACATAACAGTGATAGCTGTGCATCTCTGATTCTTCATCCTTCCTAATGGGAGTGTTTACAGTAAATACCTTAATCTTACTACTACATACTAAATATGCTGAAGGTAAACAACATATATTTTAGTTCCTAGGTCTTTATGTTGGAAGGGACTATATATCTGGACCTGATAATGTAGACACTGTGGTACATCATTCCCTGCCTATCATCCAAAGATCCTGGACTTTTGACCTTGAGGTCTTAGCTTGGACAGAACTTTCAGATTTCCTCCCAAGGAGACACAGGGCAAGCAAATTTGCCTGTAAGATGGAGACTGAGAATATTTGGCAACCATAAAAGCCAACTGTAGTGTAATTAATACTGTTTACCAAATAACATCTGCTCTCTCCCTTTCAGATTCATGGTAGGATCTCACTACCTGACCCCATTATGGGGATGAGGTAAAGCACTATAGATATATATTGAGAGTGGAAGGGTCATTTCCAGTCCAGAATATTGAACTACTGGTAGGAAATTTGGGCTTCTTTTCACTCTGCAATGTTAACAGGTATTGTTCTACATAGGAACTATACCAGGGTGAGGACAAGATGGGACCAAAGCCTCATTCAATCCTCAATGTATCTATAGCATGAGTAAGATATAAACCTTTGCTGTCTGAAGCCAGAGAGACCAGGCATACCTGCCCTGCCCTGGCGAATACATGCTTTATGCTATTTCGCAGTTCTGTGACCTTAACTCTTCTCTATGATTTTTCTGTCTATTTACAAAGTCATGCACTTCATACCTCTGATGATCCAGCATTTCAACACCCAAAAGAGTATAGTTATTATATTAAATTTATAACATTCCCTGTGTATTTCTTCTTCCAAGCTATTCATTAAAATGACACTGAAAAATATTTAACAGAATTGACCCTAATCTTGGTAATGGGGTGGCATACTTATAAGTCTCCACTTAAATTCTACACCTAACTTTGTTTTCCAAATTCTTATTATGTTTTCTTTTCATGATATAAAAGAGTTCCTTTAAATAAAGCTGTTTTTATTTTCACCTACCAAGTTATATGTTACTTACAACTGTTTCTGGGAATTTTTTGAATATATTATTTATACTACAACACCTCCATAAATGCTCTTCAACTGACTGTTCAATGTAATTATGTCTTTATGTCTTCTAAGAGATTAAATCAAAAAAAGAAACAAACATTCAATGGAAAAATTCAAATAGAAACCAATGTCTATATGCAATGAAAGGCAACTCAAACATAAACAAGTGCTTTTAAAAATTCAAATATTATTTGTAAATCTCATAGCACTAAAAATCATTTCACATACCAAAATACGTTCCTAGTCATCTCTCTGCCTCTGCTATTTGATGAATACTACTGTAACTCAGAAATTAACATAAGAATCATTAATTTGGGGAAGAGCCACATATTTTAGGCCTTGAGCTCTATATTTAGTCTTTCATAAAATCCCCAAACTTTAACATTAAGTTTACATAAGCATATTTTTTTTCCTCCAAAATACACCAAGGAAAGTAAATGGCACGAAACTGAATAAACAGTTATAGAGCTCTCAGGGGAGGAGAGTCAGAAGAAAAGTATAAATATATAATGGATGTGCAATTTTATTACCTGAGTATTTAACAACTCTTCACACTTGTGTGCTTGTTTCTCAATTGCAGAAATGTACTGTTTTTCAATAGCTTCTACTTGTTGCTTCACTGAAGACTGCAGTAGTGCCTAAAAACAAGCAAAAAAGTCATTTGGACCACAGACAAAACTTGGAGTCTACTGTTGGCATGGGAATTTTTTTTGACAGTTGTACATATCTGAAATACAACACTCTTCTGCATTACAAAATACACATTTGTGAATATTGAACACATTCATATATAACCTACTCTAAGCTTTCGGTTTTAGGTTTTCCTATTGCCAACACTACAGTTTTTTGGCTCAGATGTTACTTCCACACACCTTCTCCTTAAAAAAGCTCAAGTCATAGAGGATGATAAAGAGGGTGAGCAGTTCTGTTAAATATAAATTCAGTTCAGTGAAGACCACACAGGATGAGGAGTGTATGAAAGCTGCTGAAAAAAAAAAAAAAGAAAAAAAAAAAGAAAAAGAAAAAAAAAACAGACATATTTCACTGGCTGACAAAACTCCACATCCTCTCGGCACACCGTAATATCCCATGGGCCAAGCATGATCTTCAAGACCACAAGTCAAGTAAAAGCAGATGGAAACTCTGAGCCATTTCATACATAAAAGAACTGCCCCCCAGGAAGTTCACGCCCCTAATATAAAAAGGTAAAAGTCAAAGTGTGGAAGTCAGAATCTCAAGGCAGTATTCATAAAGAGTAATAAAACTTGGAAGACTGGACAAACTTAAGTGGGTAGTGTAAATGCTGGAACCTCAGTCGGTTAAATATAAAGACGTGAACACTGTCCGAAGGGAAGCCAAAACAGCGTTTGAAGATGTTCCGCCCACTCACTTCCTTATTGGAAATGCTTAAAACATTATTATCTTTTTTCTTTCCTTTTTATGAAAGCATTAGATGTTATACTTAACATGTTCCCAATATTATATTACATGCTATTTATAAATCCTAAATCATTCTAAAATATGTATTCAACCATATACATAAGAATTCTTTAGCAAATATTCTATTTTTGAAGGTCTATCTGGATAATAAACTACTCATAATCGAAATAGTAAGTTGAAACAGACACACGTCTTATAGAAAACAGACCTCTGGCACATTCACCAAGAAAAGAAAAATAAGCCAAATCTCTTAAATAATCTCTGTTTTGAAAACAGATATACTTGGTTGGAAACAACATGCATTAAGGGGCTCAATAAATATGCACGTATTTTTTAAAACTTAGAAATATTTTTTAAAACTCAAGTGCCAAATTTTCAGATAATTAACTTTTTTTGCAAATGTTAAACTGTCTGATGAGGCTACCACTCCTATAATTCAATAGTTGTCACTCTGAAGCTCCATAATTACTAGCAAATTAGTAAAGGAAAATAAAGTTCTGACTGAGGTTTAACCAAAATTTAAAGAAATGCTTTACAGAACTACTTTAGCCCTTCATTTATTCATTATATGTCCTCTAAAGAGTCCATGGTGATTAACTTATATAAGGCCACAAAATTTAACCACTTAACCTGTGATTAGATAATATAAAATTATAAATTACCTTTGGCAAAATATAGTGTTTGCTGGACTTCAGGAAATTTAAAGAACAATAGTTATAAACAATTCTCTTGGGTTTATTCATGACATGTTTCGTAGATAGAAAAATGCCATTCTTTTCTGGGAACTTGGATATGACAGACTGTTTTGCTTAATGGAAAACTTTTTCACTTTCCTGTTTGCCATGGTTTCAAATAATCTCACAGCTTAAATAACCTATTTTAGTGGATTTTATAGATTATGGAGATCTTTAGTAGATTATATCCTTTGAGGAACATGTCAGTTAATAAAGCAAAACATTTTCTCACCATAATTAAGACACACAATTGAACAGTATTGTTTTCTATTGATTGGTTTGCACACCATATACTCATTTATTTCCAAACTTCAAGGAGGCAAAGCACCATAGGATAATGAGTCAAATAAGAGCCAAAGCTATGGTTATGGAACATGGCAAAAAGCTATGCAGAAATAACCAGCCTTTTATAGAGTTAAAACCCCTCATCGTAGACCATTCAGTTATTTAAATCCACCCATCTATAAAAGGGACATAAATTTAGTCTGATACTACTTAACGTTGTATAATTAGTGCCACAGTCCAAACAAAAGAGATAATTTTCAAAAACTTGACTTACAACTATAATATTAATCATTATGGAGACACACGAAAGCACAAATTGATACTAGCCACCTGCTTTTACAGTATGATCCATCATTATATAACTGGATAGTTATTTTCAGATGTAATATACAATAGTAGTTGGCTTTTAAATTTTTTGTTATTAGAAGAATGGACATTAACATTAATCTTAACATTTCCCTGCAACTTATTTTTTTCCTCTGTGCTTTTGTCTACAAATTTCAAAGATACAAGGAATAACACTATGGGGAAGTATCTGAAAAAATTATTTCCTTTATAAGCTATTTTAAACTACTCTCAACAAAGATACAGAATTAAGGCTCATGGTATGTAGAGGCAGAAAAACAAAGAGGTATACACACATTCTATAATGAAAAAATGTTATTAAAGGCAGGGAAAGTGTTATTAGTTTTTAACATATTTAGGTTTTAATTCTATCAAGGATGTCTTGTGTCATCCAAGGGGATTTAATTCACTGAGCTTAAGGAAAACTAATAGCCATACCTCTTTAAGAAGAATTTCAAATATATGAATAAGAGCACAGGCTCCTTTAGTGCAGGAATTATAACTTACTCTTTAGCACACACAGCACACACATGCAATAGATACAGGTGAATGATAATCCTTCTACTAAGATGAATGTTTTTTATAAAAATCATATGAACAGTACCAATATTCACTGGAAAGTTCACTAAGCTTCAAACTGTTAAATACCAAGTTCATGTACCAAATCTGTTGTTAAGCACATTCAATCCCTACCAGGTATTTCAATTTTTAAAGTTATTATTTTAGACTACAAATGTCCATCCTTTCTACTCCATAGGACAAATTTTGAATAAATAAAATGAAGTGTGTGAAGGACCACAAAGTCCTTGGAAGGAAAATTATGTTATAAATTCTACAATTATTAGACTCATAGAAAATAAATATATTAAGTCAAAAACCACTGTACTCCAACCAATACCATAAGCAGTAGGTACATATTTTTAATGGAATTGAATATATGCTGGAATTTAAATGAGAAGTATAGCCAAAGTATACTACTACAACCCAAACTACAGTCCACTGTCTCAACAAATCCACAGTTTTTCTTCTCTCTTGAAATAGCTCAATTCTTATAGATCTGATCCAGCCTGATCAAATTAAATAACTTGTCCAGATTTGCAAAGCAGATGTGTCTAAAGAACCAGATGGTCTCCAAAAACATTAATATCATGTTGGTATTTAGTATATAACCTCAAAAGAACATGTTGTAGCTAATTTTAGGCAACAGTAATTAGATGATTTTAAAAGCCAGACCCAAATTTTCTGTATCAATCTTCTCTAAGTCATACTTTACAAATGGAGAAAGGTATAAAGTTATGGAGCAAGCTGGAAGCAAAGGATAGAATAAATAGCCTGACTAAAATTTAAGCCCTAGAAGAACATCTTTGTTCAATTCACTCACGTAGCTACCCAATATATCTACAATAGTACCTAACACATAGAAGACATTAAACAAATAATGTGTTGGATGAACTGAAGATATAAATCATGATTTTTGGCATGTCCATGCCTGATTATTTGCTTCTTCATAGAGAAACTATTAAAACTTTGATGTTAATGATGTCTGTCATTATATTCTTCGTTCAGTTTTTTGACTACAGTAGTACAAAATGATTGTTGTAAAGGGTCATTGATGTTAATGATGTCTGTAATTATATTCTTCGTTCAGTTTTTTGAATACAGTAGTACAAAATGATTGTTGTAAAGCGTCATTTGAAATCAAGCACAATTTCACCCTTCTTGAAAAAATGTAAGTTTGCTTTCCAAAAATATATTTCAGATCTTTTCCAGTTTTTAACTAAAAATAAAATAATCAAAACTAAAAGGTATCTGCAAAATGAGTAAGCTAAAACTCTGAAGGGATACTTTTATGGTTTTTTTCTGCGTAAGTACTCTTTATAAGCAAAACATTACTCTAAATTTTGCAAGGCTATTAAAATATTAGCATATCTTATAATATAGCCTCAGCTTTTCTAACATATTGCAAGCAAGTTTGTTATTGAAAAGGAAAGCCTGCTCAACTGATGAAAAATGGAAAAATAATGACTCTCAGTCATTTCACCAACCTATTCATCCTTCTTTTTTCCATGGGCTCTACATCCTTGTTTCACAGATAAAGAAACAAGCACTGAGATGAAGAAACATGCCCAATATCACATAAAAAGACTCTATGGAACAAAGAACTGAATTCAGATCTATCCACTTAATTCCTAGTTTGTCTTAGCTGTTCTAACCCGAAGAAATGATTTCTCTTCGTGAACTAAGCACTTACTCTATTTTTAGAGTAAGCCCCTTATTCATTTATTCAATCTTCATTTATTCAACTAATGTGTACTGAATGCATACTTTATTCTAAATGCTGCTCTTGGTACTGGGGATACAGAGTGAACAAAACAGACATGAGCTTGACTCTCCTGAACTTATCATTATTGGCAAGGGGGTAAAGAGAGTGGGGAGGGCAAGACTGGACAGTGGACAGTAAGCCATTTCTGATGTTACAGGCTGTGGAGAAAATAAGACAGGATTTTAAAAAGTACTGGAAAAGACAATTTTTAAAAAGGATAGTCAAGAAAGAGCTCTGTGGAGAGGCACAAATAGAGTTGAGATGTCACAAGTGAATAGAAATTAAGCCATAGTGAATGTCTGGGGAAAGAACATTTCCATCAAAGGAAAAATGCAAAGTCCGACAGTAGAAATAAGGCAGATGAGGTCAAGAAGTAGAAAAAAGGCCAGTGTGGATCATATGAACCAGAGAATTTCATCAGATGCTATAGCTACACCAGACTTCTTTTTGTCCTTAACTAGGTCAAATTTCTTACCACAGGGCTTTGGTCTTGTTGATCCCCATGCCTGAAAAGTGAATCCGAGATCAGAAAAGTAGGTAAAAGACCAGAATCATGGAGAACAGTGAAAAGGTATTTTAATTCTATTCTCACTGCAATGAGAAGAGTAACCTTTAAAGGATTTAAACAAGAAGCATCTATAAACCATTTTTAAACAATTTTTTAATGTTTTTTTTTTTAATTTATTTCTGAGAGAGAGAGAGAGAGAGAGAGACCAAGCATGTGAGCAGGGGAGGGTCAGAGAGAGAGGAAGACACAGAATCTGAAGCAGGCTCCAGGCTCTGAGCTGTCAGCACAAAGCCTGACGTGGGGCTCGAACCCACGAACTGTGAGATCATGACCTGAGCTGAAGTTGAATG